TTATTGATTTATAATTCCATTAAAAACTAATGATATCAGTATAACATGTCAAAGATTTTAAAATTTATGTTCATTATTTGTGCCAAAGATTTCCATAATTAGTTTGGGAAATTCTTTTTTCATGTAAATTGCTTTTTGTTTACAACAGCATCTTGAAATAGTTTAAATTAATCGGTGAATATATCATTTATATATAAAGTAAAACGGTTGTACATTAAAAGAAAAAAAAAAGGAGTCACAACATTCACTTTTTGGTAACAAAATCTCGAATCTCAATTTCTTGAGAAGTGCGGTCGAATAATTCAGGTGCCCATACAACTTGTGTCCGGATGAAAATGTTACTAGCTAGCCAAATGCTAATTTTATGGTGGTTGAACAACTGTGCCGAATCCACCCGCTGTCCTTCGCAGTATTGCCTCGTAGGCGTCATCTAAATAAAATATACATCCAAAATAAGGGTTGTCTAGTTTAGCGGGTTAGGGCATGTTTTTGCTGACTACGTAATTAATGTGTTGGATATCTGCAATTTCAAATGTGTAATGTTTAAAATAATTATATTGTGCTGCATAAATATACCGTAGGGACAGATGTATAAATCTTTGCTTAAAATATTACAAATGTGAAAGTGAATTTGTTCGTCTACTTGTTACCTGTTGTTGCGCTATAATGGCTTAATCAATTACTATAAAATTTGGTATACACGTACCTTATTACATTGCGAAGGTTACAATAGGCTATTTTTATTCCGGGCAGTGAATATATTTCGGTCATGAGGATAAAGCCGCGGCAAAAAGCTAGTAGAGAATATATGTAAATAATAAAAACAAATTATAAAAATATGACTTATTGTAACAATTAAATACGGATTTTTTTATTTACTGTTGTTACATAAATATAACGAGAGATGGGCAGTAGCGTCCCTCTTAAAATATCTCCAAAGCCTAACTGCGGTTGCCAATCTGCCTGCTAAACTTGGGGCAAAACCCCTCTAGGGCGAGGCTTATGTTCAGTAATGGGCAGTTAAAAGCTGACATGATGATGATGATGATAAAATGATCATATTAATATAAAACTAACGATGATAATAACATTAGCAAATGAAACGAGCTCTATGTGTTTGAACGAAATTGCGGATTGTTGGTACTTTATGAAATAAAACTAGCTTCCAAGATTCAAGCACAAACATAATGCAAACTCAACTGTTTGAAACTTTAGGATGCACATTCATTAAAGTGAATATGAACAGAATGAAACCAAAATACAAGTGTATGTTCAATTATTAAACAACTTCAAAAAGTTGGAGGTTCTTAATTTTCTCATGTTATTTGTATGTATGTTACACGTTGAACATAATGTTCAACTCTGAGCCGATTTTGATTATTATTTTCTAATCAATACGCTTTACTCCTAAATCGATTTTATTCTTGTATTGTCTGAAGTCGCGATTTTTTTAGGAAGAGAAATCTTAGATCTTAAAAAAAGTGATTAAATCTAAAAGTTATTTTGTGAACGATAACAAAATTACTATTATGTTCTTTCTCATTTTTTTTAAATGAAAAACGATATTTATTCATAAAACTTTCTAGTTATAATACTAACACTGTTAATGAGTACATTAATATTATTATTTTCTATTCCAATAAGCACCACAAGGTTTCAAAACAGGGTTTTTATTAGGCAGTTATTTTTTAAAGTTTGTGGGTTTATTTTATTATTGATCATTACCTTTTCTTACTAATTCAAACAAACCAATGTTTTTCAATAAATATAATTAGAAATATTCGATAAAAATAAGATGTGTGTTGTGCCGTAGCGCAATAAATGCTGTGGTTTTTTAAATATTATGTAGATGTAGTTATTTCTTTAGTATCTACTCAAGTAATTTGTTTAGTTTTAAAAGGTATATATTTATATTATATTAGTATTTGAGCAACTTAAGGACAATTTGAAATGGCTTCAAGCTTCTTAACTACACTTATTTGGTAATATTACACTTATGACTAAATTATAATTTTAAATACCTACATCCAGTTGATTCCACAGGTGTTTGTTACTTTCAAAACAGACCCGTAACACTAAAAAATGTCAACGTTGATTAATGGCGAATGTTGGCGTGCAATCGTTACTTTTCATTACTAGTTCGAAGTGCACGACTGAAGGCTGGCCAGTGGCGGTCAGATTAGAAAAGTTCTATCTGAAACAAGTAGAAAATCGACTTTAAAGCAAGCACTAACATTTGGTTTTAGAAACGCTGCTCTCGGATTGAAGGCAACTTTAAATTGGAATGTATCCCGCAATAAGCCTCTAGTGATTGGCCTGTTTGTTCTTAATTAGTATTAATCGGAACTTTACAACCGACAGTAACTTACTGTATTGTAAAATATCGCCTTAATTTCCAAGGAACAGCAGCTTTATTTAAAGATTAATTCTACCTGTTACTTAATTTTCCTATACCTTCCGCAGCTGAGCATGGATCTCTCTCTAGGAGGAAGATTCTTCTCTGATATTTGGAGAAAAATTTATTATTATTATTATGGAGCTGTTTAGTCAGGTGACTTGATATAGGATTTTATTTTGAGTTTTCTTTTTCTGATATTGGTGTATGGATATATGCCAAAGAAAATGGACGATATATGTAAAGGCACATGGACAATTTCTTTGTTCCTCAAATCGCTTCTTACGATATCTCGAAGATGAAAAAGAATGGTGACATATTATCATTTTACTCTGTCGCTACCAGTCCCTTAACTAATATATCAGCTGAAATCCTTATTATAATATCATTCTATGAAAGTTTCTTTGTTACCTGTTAGCGCTTTCATGGTTTAGTCAATTACTACGAAATTTTAACTTTGAAATATGCTATTTTTAATCTTGATTTCATCCCACGTGGACGAAGTGGCGGAAAAAAAGTATTAGTAGTAAACATGTATTTATTATTTCTTGGATTAAAAAATAGTAGCTATATACTAATACATATATATATCCACTAACACAAATTTCAAATGGAAATAAGTTGCAAATGATTTAGTAATTTATACAATGAGCTCCACTTTGGTGCAGTAAAGGTATGTACCATCTATTTAAATATCATCAAAATTAATCAAAGTAATGCATCAGTTACTGACCAGAAATTATGTAAAATATATCTAAAAACACGGACGTGGGAAATCAGCATATTCATTTTAGAGGGGCCTACCCACCCTATCCATTAGTGAGTCATACAGCGCGGCGCGGTCGCAAACAAATCCGGGGATGCTCCTTGCATATATTTATTCGAGACGTTTTAACAAGCCAATATAAATAAGGGAATGCGATACTAAATACTCGAGGTTCTAGTGGAAGCAAATCTCTTGTGTCACGATAAACAACTGAAACGGTTGAGTCCTGTCGAGCGTGCTAGCTCAAACATTCTGTCTGGGGTTGCCACGTACGATTTATGTTTCTCCTCAAATTTGTAGATAATACATTTTCTTCAAATTTTTTCTATAATCTTCTTAAATTTTTTCCAATCACTAACATTTCACGGGTTCTAGATAAAATGTGTTTTCACTACATTTATTTAGTAGCCATTATTAAGGACGATGTATAAAAAAATGTAATACGGGGCATTAAATTCTTTTATATTCTTTCGTTGGTGTTAACTTTAATATAACCTTATTTCGTACATTTCTGTTATTATATTATATTATACTTTACAAATGCTAAAACTAAATTACCAAAAATTCTCCATGACAATTTTTTTTCTCTAAATTTTCCCACAGACTAAAATTTTTACCTACAATTGTGAAAAATGTGCCCAATCTGGCAACGTCGATTCTGTCTGACGACTCTTTCAGTCATTTGGAGGGAACGACTCTTATCGTCTTACTTTTATAGACTGCGAATCGAAAAGGCTTCGACGTTACAAAACGAGACCCTTCTATTGTGTGAAAGTGTTGAGTGAATGTACCATGAACGTTCTTTGTCGCTGTACCAATACGTTACGTTTTATGTTACTTGGAAAAATACCCCCATTTATCTAATAATATAATACTTGTACTTCACACAATTATTAGATTTTTCAACGTTTTCAGATATATAATATAAAACAAAGTTACTGCCCGCGTCTGTTTGTTTCTCTATTTATTTTATCATTATGGTTTTTACTGTCATTTTGATATTTTTAATACTTGGTATGAATGGATAAAATAAACGTTTTTGTCACATTTAACCAAACAATCGATTTTCATGACTCGATCTTTAAAGATACATGAAAATAATATACTAAGCGAAACCGAAGCAGGCCACTAGATATCAATAAGGAATCGTAGGATAATAAACTTTTTGTTAACAACAAAAAGTTCATTTTCATATTTCCGACAATGTATATGTATGCAATTTTATGCGTTTAAATGGTAGTTACCAGTCTTCAACTACATTTAAAAGGGAGAATAAATTTTAATAAAATTTTGTACATAGTTATACAATGTATATAGACTACCAGACTATGTTAAGCCTATGAAATATTGCATAGGAATTTAGTCAAATGGTGAGTAATTTACTAAATACTCTACTAAGCGAAAATAGATTAAGGTTTTGTTGTTCACACACGTTTAGTTGCTAAATAATTCGTCATTTGACTAAATTATTGAAGCTATTCTTTAGGTTAGCTAAGTTTTAGTGTAGCTTAATTTGTATTAGTACTCATAGCGAATTTTTAGGGTCATTAGTTCTAGTTTTACATAAAATTAGTTATTATTTTTATTTATAATAAATGTGAAAGTGGATTTGTTTATTTATTTGTTATTTTTTACCCCTTAATGGCGCAATCAATATCCATTTTAGGTACTCACTTCGTATTAGAATGGAAAAAAGCATAAGCTATAAAGTAAAATAAAAAAATATTCTGAAAATAAAATTCTCCATCTTTGCATTTGACTCTCTGTGTTTCTAACTTTTAAGAATATAAATAAATAAACCTAATAATCAAATAGAAATGTTTTTTCTCTTCTTTTCAGAAAGTCTTCGGGACTACTTTAGCAAATTCGGGGAAATCACAGAAGTTATGGTTATGAAAGATCCAACAACGAGGCGGTCGAGGTAGGTTTGATAATATAACTTACTCAATTTTATTATAAACATTCCTTCTATTCACCCGAGCGAAGTTTTTCCATAAAAATGATTATAGAAAAAAAAATATTATTAATATTTAAATTAAATTAATAGTTATCCTGGAGTATTTATTTAAACAAATAAATATCATATAACATTTTATATACAACTATGGAAGATGAACTAATTTAATTTTATGCTAAATACATTGCATTTAATTCATATGTTCTTATTCAAAGACACACACGTATATAGATATGATATGCATATGTACATACATTCGAAAAAACAATACATTTCTAATTTTGATAGTTGGATAAAATATAACATATTAAAGCGATCAGAAATAATGGAATGCTTTTATTGCATAGTTAGGAACAGTGGTCAGTCAGGTCGCGGTATAGGTAACTACCGACTATATAGAAACGTGCTAAAAGTTATCGGTTTGCAAATAAGTTTCGTTCCATAGAGAACCATACTCGTTTCGAAATTTGCGGTTACCTTTGAATTGTAAGTAGTTAAATGTTGGATTTCAAATTTAGGAACTTAACAATAGAACTCGAATTATTCCAACTGAATTAAGCATTTGGTGGAGTTGAATGAGTGAGGATGTCGGTATTCACTTAACAGGCTACTAAACTGAATTCCTTTAATGCTTGTATTGCTACAGACATTCCACGAATATTTTGTTGCGTACTCTGAACCTCTATTATTATTTATGCAATATCTATTGCGGTTCTATCGATGTCATTGAGTAAAAAATTTTCATGTTTTTTTAATTAGTAGATCATTCATTACGTACAGTCTATCATTAGTAGTGAAACACATAGTTCTTTCTAATATTTAAGAGAGCGATATATAGTATAATTTTTCTCGTTACTGCGAACACATAAATATTAATTACTTTACACTTTTCATAAATAATTATTTGAAATTATATTTGGAATTAATTAATTAGTAATGTTATTATTTTTTATTAATAATTTATTTTTGTATTCCATGTTTATATGGTGAAGATAAGAAAAAAGATGTTCGTATAGAAAAGTCAATTTATGAGGTCAATGATTTTCATTATTAAATAATAGGTGAAAACTCATGATATCAAATTCCTTCTTTGTAAGTTTATTACATTGTATTGTAAAAATTTTTTTTTTTTAATGGAGGATAACGAAATGAAAACCCCGCCTGCGCTAACGGTATACGCTGGCGGGGCAACAGTGAGGGATGATAGGTGAGAATGAAAAGGTCAGTTAGGCAACCGTGATGGTTACGCCTGAAATTCATAGTAAAACAGAATTTTGAAGCAGTAATAGGTTTGTATTTTATATAGACTTTATTAAATATGGAAATATTATTGTTATATTAAAGGTTTAAAATTTCCAAGATCTTGAAAACCCGATCGCGTTACAATCACTATCTGAGGGAACAACAATCAAGCCACTATGTACACAAACTGAGTGGCTTAGCAACTCCGAAGACAAGAAATAAGTTGTCAAAGTGTCGAGCTAAAGTTGCTCTGCTAACGTCATTTCTGTTAGGTAGATCGTCGGTTTCACTACTAAATATTAGACTGTATACCATGAAATAATATCTCTAGTATCGATATTGGTGTAACTCAGCTAGATTTGAATGTAATTAGCCAGATTAACATATGCAAATGTAAAGTAAATGTTTTATCTCTCACAAAAGTGTCAGTTCCTATTATTACACTTATAATTAAATGAAAATGTGATGACCGACTTGATTGAAATAGATAATCGTCACCTATAGACATGAATAGCATCATGTACATTGTAACACTCATGGCTTTTCCCAAACATATATCCTGTAAGTTCACTGCTATATTCTACTTTTTAAATCAAGTCATTCAAGGATGGCTAATTTAGTTACAGAAACTAGAGTGGGACAGAGTTACTCATACAAATGACTTTTTCTGGTGAAGCCATCTTTTGTGAGACTTGGTTTCAGGATGGGCTCAACTAAATATTATATTAAAACACCATGTCTTATAAATCATCATGCTTCCAACTTTTAGATATTTAGTGTGTTAATCAAAGAATTTTAAATTCTAATACCACTGTCATAGCACATGCAATAGCATATACCCGAAACGCTGTTTCGGATCTCTAGTGCTTATCGCTATTGACTGTGTTATTTTTTAATAAATTAGAAACCGACTATGATATTATTTTAGAGTTTTTTTTTTTAAATATATGCCCATGTATTTTTTTATATATATGTATATACTTTCATGAACTAATGCATTCGCCTTGTTATATATATTATATTCCATTATTTCAAATGCTATTAATGTTAGAGGTATCTCAAAGTTTAACAAAGAACGTAAACTCAATCAAAATTCAAAATGTGTTGTATTTTAATTTCAAATTATATATACTTTAATAGAAAATTATCTTTATTCCGTTAGTAATAAAGTCGCATTAGGAATGGAGGAAAAAATTTTTTTTTTGTTTTAAATCTTTTGTGACATTGTTCCGCACAGGGAACAGCAAAGTTTCTACGTTGACACCTTATCGTTACCGTAAATCAAGTGGACATCGGCAAAGAGCGAGATGTACCATCGTAGTCGGCCGGTGTCCTGAAAGCGATAACAGTTTAGAAGTTGCCGCAGTAAACAACAATATTAAGAGGCAGTTTACCTTAGCCTTAATATTTAGTAGAGACAGCAAAATAGTTTCTATTTTGCCAGACTAGAAAAAAAAAGTTTGTACCAACTAATTAAAAAAAAACTACGAGTACTATTGATTTAGATATATAATATTAGAAGTCGTAGTACATATATTATATTTTAAATTTTAATTTATATATATATATATATATATATATATATATATATATATATATATATATATATATATATATATATAACTTAATATTGTGATGTCCATCCTTGATTGTTGCTTATATATGTGCATTAGTATATGTCCCGTAACTACGGCACTCTACAAGTTATCCTCTATGTCTCAAAGTGTCCGCACAGACAAACTTCACCCCTAATTCTTCAGATCAAAGGCCGTTTAGTTTGCTCGCCACGGACTTTCCCCAACTACAGCTTATGCAAGCAAAGTAAATCAATATCGAAAGTCAATGAATCAAGAGTAATATATTCGGGTACATAATAAATGTGCGCTACCTGAAGGCAATATCTGAAAAATTTGCCTCCTCGATATTGCTTACAAGGGAGTTTCCTTTCTCCCCAAAATTTAATGCGTCGTTCGCATTTTTATAAAAAGAAGTAGGTAAGTGAAATAATTTGCGGTCGGTGCTTTATTTCCTTTTATTTATTTTAATGGTAGGTCTCCTTTCTTTTGTTTTTTTTTCTTTAGGCTTAAGGGAAATGAGGGTATGCGTAAAAAAAATGTGTTAAGTTTATGTATTGTTAAAAATGTCGGAATTTATACGAGGAGATGTAATGAAGAAAAATTTGTGAATGCGTCTTGATTGTTTGTTTGAAGATTAATTAGTTTATGTTAGATATTTAAATGTCTTTCCCGAAACGAGGACATTTCTAAAGTAACTTGGAACTTAATGATAATACCTTATTTCTTAAGTGTTTAGAGGCAATTTCCTTATATTATTTTACTCGTAACAACCTTTTATCATAATTTTACGGGCCAAGTTTCAAAGCCCAGTTGTTGTTTTCGGTGTGAACATGGGAATATGATTTATCTATTGCAATTTTTTTTCAATTTGACCAACATATTTGGTTTTTCAAATTCGAATATAAAATTTTAAAAGTTGAAATATTCGTATCATTTTATATACATATACAATCTGTTAACTTTTGAGTTTCTGATATGTGCCCAACTGAATGGAAGTTTATATCATAGCAGAGCTTACATCGGCTTTCAGCGAGCCCGTCCCCATTCACACCCGTTTCATTCGTTTCGTTTTCCACTAAAAATCTAAAATCAATAGAGGATCATGGTATAAATGCAAAGATTACTGTGTTCGCTTTTCGCAGCATGAAAAATGTGCGAGCGGCTACATGAGCCGTCCAAAATAAAACCGCGAATCACTATGAGACCGTAAGTAGCACCATAAAAGGAGGATCCGTTGGAATCGCTTCGGCAAACACCTACAGAGAAGTGGAGCGGTGTTAAATGAGAGGGATTGCGAGTCCCCTCCCCTCCCTGTTTCTCTTCACCGCTACTTAAGACGATGTCATATTTAGTAACAAATGTTCAATGGTTATAATACTACTTCGAATTTCAATACAGATCATTACCAATTGAATATATGAATTGATACTATATGTGGTATATTATTTTATGTATGTGCGTGTACATGCATGTGTTACCATTCTGCACTATATGATTCAAAGAAAAGCCAGAGTGCGAAATATAGTCTCCAGAATTACTGAGTATAAGGCAATTTATGAAAATGAAAGTGGATGAAGCAATAGACAACGGGATAAAGATATCGTCATTCTATTATCTATGCTACGATTATGTTAAGGCCTTTCTTAAAATAACCGGAGTAAAAATATATATATATATATATATATATATATATATATATATATATATATATATTTTCATACGAACGTAAATAAAAGTATCAAAATATCTGGCCGTACTCGAGTATACACAAATTATGTTTATATATATAAATTTTAATGAAAAAGTATTAAGTGTACTTTCAAAATTTGCTTCGCGGTAACGTTCATTACTAGTTCGATAATCGGTTTGAAGCACGGATGCATAATCAAGTAGGGGGTTCGAGAATAGGAGAATGAGGGAGAGTGGAGGGTTGCTCGTGAAACTATTACACCAACGGTCTGAGCACTAGGCGGCTTCATTAATCGGCCATCGCATGAAGCTATCCACGACCGTTATGATATGACCAGGCTAACATATTATAAAGCCTTGGTCTATTATCTAAGTAGACAGTTAGCTTAGCTAATCTAACTGCCACTTGCAATGCTACTTGCTTATCTATTAAACACCTTCGTTATGAAAAATACA